ACTGTTTTCCCCTCAATTTTTAGTCAGAAAAGCTGCCTAAAACTTAAAAGTAAACATCATAATATTTGTGAAGGAATGGTATCTGTTAAAGTAAGATCAAATATGCTACCTTAAGAAGGATTTCTATATAGATGGGACTAATGAGACATGAGTTCCCCATATATTTTTACCCAGTCAGTTCAAACAGTTTTAAGCAATAGCAATATGGATAACAATAACATTACTTAGTTTTTTTGTGATAATAATTAATGTGTGAGTATTTGCGCTTTCCAAATTACAAAGAAAGATGTCAGTGAGCCACTCATTGATCTGATAGTGAACTTGGAAGCAATTTCCCCAACAGACATTATATAATATACATTATATGAACCATTTAAATCAGGAATGGGCAATTGATTTTCCAAAGTTGCCACATGAGAAACTGTGACTGTTTTGGAGGGCAGGACCAATAAACTGACCTCAAGTTTGCTCAATGTTAACTTTATCTCTTTATAAACTATTGGTAAGGCAATGAAAATGTAAAATAGGCATAGTAAAAATCAACATTTACAAAAATCATTGCAAGACTTAACTTTATACAAAGTGCTGTTGCTGTTTTGTTTGTAGGTTAATTACTTCAGTTCTTTTTTTCCTTGTTCAGTGAGAGTCTGTTTAAACTCAGGTTCAGTGAAGGACAGCGGACAGATGATTGTCACTGTTAGAGACTCTGTATCTGCATTTGTATTTGTTTCATTCCTGAGAATGTTTGTTTATTTCCAAAGAGAAAACAAAAAAAACCCTATTCTGTGCATTTGTCCTTACATAAGGAAAGTTTTCCTCTATGAAAGAATAATGAAAATCCAACAGCGATCCTGGCTCAAAATGCTCTGCCAGCAGTGACTCTGACTACAGGTCGATGAGGTCTTGCAGAACATTACTGGATGCATTATCCACACTGCAAGTGAAGGGAGAGGAAATCATGTGCATTTCACTCTGAACTGTTTTGAAGTCTTCAAATCCCCATGAAATCTCATCAAGAAGGGCTCCTAACGTAAAACAGTACCAGCCGTGGTGATCAGCCAATGGTATGGCTTCTTTCACTGTTGATATGCAAGTAAGAATGTTGCTGCCCAACAGGCTTGACAGAAACAGCAACTTTCTCATGAAAACCTTGCCTAAGCTATACGTTTGATGTGCAGCCCTTGCCTATCAGTTTGGTATTTAACTGCTTCATTAGTGCACATCAGTAACAAATCAGTGATTTACCTTCAATCTGAGAGCTGAGAAATGTCAATGGCTTTCTTCTCACAAAGCTCTTAAATTCCTGCTCTCAGGTTGCATATATTTGTTTTTGGTTTTTTAGCATTTTATTACCTGACAGCTGTATGGTAGCCTATGTCTCCATGCAAGCTGTTTCATAATTACATGGAACAAACTGTCTGTGACACAGTGCTATTACACTGACGAAGTTAGCTATTTTAGTTACATCAATCACATGGTTAAATTTTAGCACTAGCAGAAAACCTGGTGTATAATACAGTACAAACATATCAATTAAACTTCTCATTTTAGTCATTTCTGCTTTAAAAACCATTTGTAGTAACACCTACCATTTTCAGCCTTAGCTTATCCAAGCATGCAGCTACTTTCTTGAACTTGCATGCAGAATTTTCTTTTATTGCACACATTATCACAGAGCCAGGAAGGAAAAGTTTAAACTGTCCACTTAGTTTTTCAGCTGAAGTTCCAGATTCCCTTCAGTGTCTTTACATCTAGCTATTTTTCACCTGGAGGGGCACATTCATAAATGCTTGTTTTTTTTCCTCAGCACACTTTTCACAGTTCGCTAAACATTGTCTGATCAGCTCCCCATTAACAATAGCTCAGTATTTTGTGTAATTTTGTTGGAAATCACATAGTTGGTCTTGAGCACTCCATCTCTGGATGTGTAAAACTTGTTGTCCTTGTTGCTTCTGCAGCTTTGCAGGAAAAGGTTTAGATGTCCGTTCCTGCTCTGCATCAATAAAGTTCTTGTTTTTCTCTGTGTGTTCAGTCTCATAATGTTGAATCAAATCCTTAAACACAACCATCTGCTCTCCACAAACTAAGCATATGGCTTTACCTCTCACTTTAGTAAAAAAATACTTAGAAGTCTTTGTTTTGTTTAAAACTCTACATTCTCCATTAATCTCTATTTTTAATGTGATTTCCCCCCCCACAAAAAAAAAAAAAAAAAAAATCACAAAAAACTGTAACATATTATAGAAATATTATAGTCAGTCCTCTACAGGAGGTTAATTATCACTGTCATATCACACATTACTATGTGTATATTTTGCACTGAGTGCACACAGAAAAACACCACTCAAACTGCATAAATCACATAAGGCACACATACCATGCCCACACATTTGAAGAGATACATTTTCCAATCCCTTTTTCATTATTTGCAAATCTCCTCTAGAAATGTATGAACAAAGTATAGCACAGAATCAACATGTAAAACATGTAAAACATAGCTGCAAGTAGCAATGGTCAGGGTCGACCAAGACTGAACTATTAACATTTACCTCCTTCAAAGAGAAAATATTTTAGCAAGTACTGCAGTTAGAAAGGTTTTGGAACGTACTTATTACAGCATTACCTATAGGTACAACTTTTAGAGTCTGGGAATTTAAAAACTTTTTTTTTTTTGCACAAGCATCTAGTATTAGAAACAATTACTATAGTGTTCCTACAATATGGCTACTTGGATCCATAATCATAATCTTTAGATTACTTAATTGGTTCTTAAAATATAAGGCATAATAATTATTAATAGCTTAAAATAAGAGAACTGTGACTTCTTTGACACTCCTCTATGGATGTGCTTTAACCACAATTGAAAGAAATGTCACAAAGTATATAAAGTCCTCTCCCTTAATGATTGCGAGCGGATAATTCAAATTAGATTTTTGATGTAATTATTATCAAATGTCAGAGCAAAAACAACTCTTCTGTTATTGTGAAACAGCTTGCAAATGCGCAGCACACACATTTGCAATTCTAATTGATTATTACTTTTTTGCTAATTTTCCACATTGTGTTGTTGTCATTAGCCATTAGTGGGAATTATACTTTGAAGTCTTTTTCGAGAAGAGATTGAAAAACATTTTCTTCTCATGCTGAGCAGAATTCAAAACCAGACGATCTAATTGTTGTAAAAATGCATTAACCTTTCAAAACATAAAGAGACGGGGTGACACAAACCATCTACTGAGCTAATGAAAATGAATCTCAACTAAAGGTTGTCAGGTTTCAGTGTGATTTGAACAAGCTGTCACCACAAAGAAAAATAAAGTGTCACGTTATACGTACTTTCAACAGTCACTTTTCTTTCCTGTCATATTTTCTGAGATTGTTTTGCAATACGCTCTAATTCATGTTCTTTTAAAAGCTGAGCATCTCCTAAGATATTTGTCACATTCTGTGCAGGTGAGGACAATTACACTGCACACAATTAATTTCAGGTTGTTAAAATTCAGACAGTAATCCTCCTTCAATTGTAGGCAGCAGAAAATTACCAACCATCACAAAGAGAAAAGATGTGCTCAAATGTGTTTCAAATAAACGGCTGGTTAAATTAGTGCACACGAGGTATGTCTATCAACTCTCTTCTTCGGAGCAGCACTAAAATCTATTGGAACAAAATGTGAGACCTGTGACTCTTTGTCTTCTTCCCATTTCCCCAATTCTCGCACAATTTTCACATCTTAAAAATTAACTAACAGACAGAAGTTTAGAGGGTTCGTTTTAGATTTGCAGGTGAATGTAAGACATTTGGCTCCCCTGTTACCGCATAACAAAGACACATACCTCAAGGCAATATAACAGTTATCAACAGGCTTCTTCCATGATATTTGCCTAAAACTTTAATGATAAACAAGCTAATGTGCTGTAAACTCACTTTTTTCTCTCACGATACCTTTAAAGGTTCAAACTCTAAACCTTGCAATTAAACCCCTGTACATTCTGATTGTTGCACACTTCACTTAAAACAGCAACAGTGTCTAACTGCTATTTTTTAAAGCTTGACCTACTTTGTAGTACACTGGATGATAAAAAGGATTAAGCTGCTAACTGAAATCTTACTTACAGAGAAGAAAACCTTAGTTATGATTGATATACACCTGTCATAACTAATTGCATTAAAACTAAAGAATGATTAGAACTCTCTTACCATCTCTACCTTTCCTTCCCTGCCACTCAACCACTCTGAACGCATGATTAATGTGCAATAGGTAACATATAATGTTGTGGGGATAAACACTAAGAAAACATATGGATAAACAACTGCAACATACCTTGCCTTATCAAGCAACATAAACTTTTCCTTAGTTTAAAAGATAAAAACTCATTTCAATTAACATCTTTGCATGATGCAAAGTCTATCTAAAGCAGTGCAAAAGGCAAATGAGGTTATACGAGTCTTGTCGAATATTCCTGAGTTGGTCTAATCAGTGATCAACAGGCCGTAAAGAGAAAGGCTTCACAAGAGAGCATTTTGGATTCTGTGGAAAGAGATTCTGTGATTGATGTTTATAAGAGATGTTATACAATTAAGGGTTAACACGCACAATTCAGTGCCAATCTCTTTCAAAATCCATCTAGTGGAAAAAAGACTCTTTCACAATTGAGCATTCCGGCTTCTTGAAAGGTTATCATTTGCTTGATTTAAACATTAGCAATCATTCTTATTTTATTTTTTTCCACTGATTACCAAGCAGCTCTTTTGTTCTAAATATGATGGTTTTTCATATCAAAGATTCTAGTCATGACTGTCTTTCAAGATTGCAGCAACTCAGCCAGTAAAACACAGCATGGAAACCTAAGTAAAACATATAAATTAAAGTAAGCAGTGAGCATAATCAACTTGTTTTTTTTGTTTTTTTTTAAAAAATACATTTATGGAGTTAGTTTTAGGTTTGGATTTAACAAATTCTTTTCTTTTTTTTTTAAATCTTGTTATTGTTTTCTTTCAGACCATGAGCGGATCGGAAAAGATTCATCATATGAACAGGAGGGGAAGGTTCAGTTTGTTATAGATGCAGTGTACGCAATGGCTCACGCTCTACATAATATGCACAAAGACCTCTGTCCTGGAAAAGTTGGCCTTTGCTCCAAGATGGACACTATCAATGGCACACTGCTTCTCAAATATATCCGCAGTGTCAACTTTACAGGTATGTATTCCTAATTCTGATAAAGCACATAACCCTAACCCATTTTGCTGTGTGAAAACAAGATAGACAAGAAAGTCTGGGAAGTATTTTCAGCTAAAGTATCAAATAGAATGAAATGTCTTTCCTTATAAACAATATTTATCATAGGGATGTGTCAATATATCAGTCAACCATCAAAACAGGTCCGGAATACCTTATAGATGTGAGTAGTACACAACTTTTTGGTGCATTTTTGGGTTCACTAGCATATTTGTGCAGAGACTTTAGTCATATACTATGCAGTGGTCTCAAATTATCAGGCGTCTGAAAGTAAATCATTTCCAGCAAGTACTGAGGCTGAGATCCGTAGGAGGATTGACAATCACCAGCAGAACAGCATGTTTTATCATGGTTGATGATGTGCAGGAACTGCGCTTTGTGAGATTTCCTGCCTTATCATGTAAGCATTGAATTGCCCACACAGGAGATCTGCTGCTTTAAGTACAAGTACACTTGCTGCTTAAAATTATATGTAAATGAGAGTGGGAAGCACGTTAACATAAGGCACAACAGAAATGGGCATCGGTAGTTTTCCAGTAGTTGTCCAATGTAAAGTGTCACTGGCAAAAACAGGATGCAGTTGTCTCTGAGACAGAAAGAGATATGAGTTGATTACATTTAACGTAGCTTCATGACTATCCCTGAACTGTGACAGTGTATGATTTGAGGGAAATCATGTTGTGCTTATAAAACTTTATAAAGGTCACAAAAACTGGAATTTTTCAGACTTTAGTAAGCAAATGTCAATACATATTTCATCGAGTTGTTCTTACTTTTCAACCTGCTGCCTCCATAGTGTAGTGGTTAACATATTCATTTAACAAGTGAAAGGTTGCTGAAGCAGTTCTAGCCAGGAAAACAAATCCTTTCGTCAGGAAGGGAGCAGCTAATAAAGTAGCTTTTTCTCAAACTCAGAAGTTCAGCTTCTCTCCGTCTCTTTACAAAACTGTAATACTTAAACTTAGAGAAATACTGTTTACCACTAGCTGACCCAAGACAAAAAAATGGATTTCATCTGGTTTCAGCATGTGATTAAAACTGCCACTGTTATTTGCATAATTTCACAAAAGCCTGTATAATGACACTATGAAGTAGACCCGACCTTACCGTATTAAAAAAAAAAAAAAGGTACATATATACACAGCATGGGCATGAAGATAATCTTGTAGTTTGCAAAGATTGAATAAACAACATATGAAAATTTGAGGTCTACCTTAGGTCAGTGTAAGTAGTTATAACAGGTTGAGTTAATTATATGACAAGAGAAGAGGGCCATGCAATCAAGCAGAATGCAACATGAGTGGTCTGACACAGTCTCCACCTGCTCCACCCTCACAGATAATTATATAGTAATGGACACATTTATTTCTATGACAATTATAGAGTGGGATCTTTTGGTCAGGGATAATCATTCTACAGCTAAGTATGTGACAAGAATAATATACAGTAAATTACACAATTAAGAAAGTTGTCGATGAAGCAAAAGACATCTGCTCCACTTCTTTGGAATCCAGACGTCAGTTGCTAACGTATCTGTCTGGAGCTTGGCCAGTAGCTTCGATGAATCCTACTCTTAGTGTTTATAAGCGGGATGCTTTCACACATAAAATGCTTACATTCAATTCACATAGACCTCTAGTGGCTGTAGGAATTACACAGTTCAGTTACACATTTCAATCACTTACAAATGAAGTAAACAACACTGCCGCGTCTTATAAATAATTCCTCTCAAGGGGTGGGGAATAAATACGCATTTTTTAAGTTAATGTGTTGGAAGAAGAAAAAAATGAGCAAGCATAAATATCTGAACAGCACTGACAAGGACCTGATTCTAAAAGCTAGATAAAGATATTCTTAGGTTTTCCTTATCTTGGAAGTACCAAGTTTGGCAACTACCTTTAAAAATAAGTCCAACTGGCTACAGGGTCATGAGCACCCAAGATTCAATAAATGATAAAGGCTGGAAAGGCTGGGACTATTGCACACCATAAACTTTTAATGAAAACCTTGGGCAAGAGATAGCTGTAGGATGCACTGCAAAAAAGGTAAGCTGACTGTGGCAGTGTGATATTCTGGATAATCTCCTTCTGGTAAACTCTGGGTCCTGGCATGTGGCATGAGGCATGTGGATTACATAAATATTGTTGCCGACCACATATACCAAATCATTTTTACCTCAACCCATTATTTATTTTCTCACCAATTGTCAAGAGCACCTGTGTCACATCAGCAAAATCACTTACTAGAGAATTTGACTTCTTTTACCTTCAGAACTGCTTTAATTGTTCATGGCATAGAATCAAAATAGTGTGAGATTTTGTTCTATTTTGACACAATATTTTTCACATTTATGACATGAATTTACCATTCCACCTCACCCCAAAGGCGATTTGGAAATTAGAGACTTCACTGTCATGTTCAAGAAACCCGTTTAAGATGATTTGAGCTTTGTGACATGCACATTATCTCGCTGGAAAAGCCAGTCAGAAGATAGGTACACTGTGGTCATAAACATTGTCAGAAACACTACTCAGGGCTTTCTTTAATCTTTACTACTACTATTTTAGTACTAAAATGTATTACGAAAATATAACACACAACATTCTACCAGAACAACCAAAACATACAGTTGATACAAAGTATGCTTTCACATTGTTTACACCCTACCATTCAAATGTTGCAGCAAAAACTGAAACTCATCAGTCAACGCAACATTTTTCCAATGTCCTGTTGCTGAGCTCTGTTTCCTGTTCACAGCTGACATAAGTAACATCTAGTGTGGTCTTCTGCGGCTTTAATCCTTCAAGCTTTGATGTGTTGTGTTCTCAGAGATGCTCTTCCACCTACATTGATTGTAACAAGTAGTTATTTAAGTTCATTTTGTCTTTCTATCCTATCAAAGCAGATATCAGTGAGGTATTTCGCACAGAGAATTCCTAGATAATGGAAAATAGATAAAGGATGCCATGTATAGTAAACTAAAAATAATGTACCACTGTAAACTGATGATGCAAATCAAAGTAAAGAAGAATCTAAGTTTAAAGGCATTCTCTTCTACTCATTCTGTTCACATCTGTCGACAGCAGAACAATTCCCTTTACTAGATGATTTTCAGACCATAATCTTTATTGTAGAATTTGTTGTGCAGAAAGATCACAGTAGATGAGCATTTCCTGAAATACCCAGGCTGTGAGTCCAAGCTCCAGTCAAAATAATCTTTCTTTCCCATTCTTATGATGAGTTTTAACTTCAGCAGTTCATTTTGAGCATGTCTAAATGCAATGAGTTGCTGCTATGCAATTGGGTTATTAGATATTCGCATTGACAAGCAGTTGGGTGGGTGTACTTAATAAAGTGGCCGGCAAGTGTATTTTTGTCGTAGCTGCTCAATTGTTTTTGTGCTCTAAATGGTACAGTATTCCAGCCTTAATTTCAAGTGTATGACCTTTCGCTGTACCTGTCTCCTGATTTGCCACATTCCCTTCCATGCATTATGTTATTTTTTACCTAATAACTACATAGGTGTTCTCTGATGGTAGTTGTCTGTTTGTAATGGAATTTGCCATACTGCAAAATTGTTCAGGAATTGTTTCAGAAAAATGAAAAAGAGTTCAAGGTGTTAACCTGGCCTCCAAATTCCCCAAAGAAAGGAATTAAAAATGTAAGTCCTTGGTTTGTTTTTTCATTTCCTACAGACAACCATTATTTGCTTTTAACAACCTTTTCTTGACTCAACCAAGTACAAAGTAAGGATTTTAAACACAAAACACCCTCTTAGCCTCCTACTGTAAATACAGTAGCAAAGAGCAGTTATAAAAGACCAACAATCTGCTCCATCTGTAAAACAGATGACAAAATTATATGATATAGCAGACAGGCATCCAACTGTCCAGTGATTAGTCAGGGCCTAAATTTTGTGTCTGTTTGACTTAAGCAAACATGAACTCATTCGTTCTTGTCAAGGATAGTAAAGTTTAATTTGACTCTTGTGTTTGCAGCTTTCAGTTTTCATCCCTGATGGACACTGAAAGGAAACACTGCAGAACTCAGGAAATTTGTCTATGTCAAAAGTGTTTGTGAGTGTGCTTATTACTGTGCAAGGAGGTCAGTCCATATTTGTGCAAAATTAAACAAATGGAATAGGTAAAGACATTGTTTAGATTTGTATCCAGGAGTCATCTTTGGTTAGTTCTAAAAGATCAATCCTCATAGCACCATAAAACTTTAATCAGCAATGCTATATGTATAGATGTGGAGTACAAAATTAGTGTTCTTCAAATCTTTATGCATTATTTTATTCATGGTTTTATGTTACTGGAAGGTTTGTCAGCACTGAAGCCATCGGATTTTCAACAGCGATGGCTAGAAAATCAATGCTTCACATTACCGGAATCCTGCCTAGCTCGCTTTGCTTTTAAGAGTCTTTCAGTTCACAGAATCGGAGACTAAAAGCTCTGAACAATGTCAGCATCCATGTGATCCCTGTGTATTATGGGAATTTTCTATAGACATACATGCTGACTAAAGGCTACCCAAAACTTTACAAATATTGTACATGAAATTGATACTTTTTGATCCATGATTATTATCTATTATAAAGTGAAATAAATTGATATTGGTTAGATTTAAGAAAAAGTCCAAACTTAATTCTGTTTAATACTATTTTTCCGTTTAGCGTTATAAAGTAAACCTTGCAGCCCATAAATCTGATAGTAGGTAAGTAATATTAACAATGTCATAATTAAATATTTGTCTTTTAGTCTGGGGTTTCAACATAGCTATTTATACAGTATGTTTCAAATTGTCAAAGGAATTACTCCAAGTTCTGTTTCTTACGGTCTCCTGTGGTGGTGTGTCTATTAACAGCCCAGAGAGTGGGTCTGGGAAGAAAAGATAACCCAAAAGCAGTCAACAGGTATTGCATTTACACTGACACATAAGAGGATGGGAGGGCACAACAGTCAGTGGAGGGTATTATTTACATGTCGGTGTTAAACAGAGACAATGGTATCAAGGGTCTGGAAGTCAACAGTGGAGTAACAAAATCAAATAAATAAACAAATAACACAAAGGTGAAAAGGTCAAATTTTCATATACACTAGGGCCGAACAGCTACCTTCTGGTTACAATACAACAGAATGTTAAAAGCAAAAGATTAAGAGAAGTGACTCTCTGTCGATATTCCTGACCAAAATGCTATTTGTTAGGAGGTTTAGTCGGTGCAAATAGGGTTATGCAGAAGTTTATGGGAGGATTTTTTTATCACTTGTCAGATAAAGCATGTCTCATATCTTCAGAGCGACATATCAAGTTAAAATACAAAAACTTGGGAAATTTTATATCTTTATATATTCCAGAAAATATCACAAACAGTAATATATTACTCTGAATCCAGGACTGACGTTCATGCGTGGTATGGAGGGAATTTTAAACTTCACTGATGTATGCTTAGACTGCTCATTTTTCTGTTTGTTTATTAGCCAGAATACACCAACACTAGCATGACAAATTTCACAAAACATACTGTAGATGTGGAGCAAATCATATGTAGTGTTGATCTGGATCGTATTCTTAAAAATGTTCAAATATAACAAATTTAAGCTTGCAGTGTGTGTATATACCATAATAACAGATCTTAAGCAAAACACCAAACTGTGATGGTCTGATACTATTTGAAAGACTACATTATTCTTGAGCCCAATGTCATAAAAGACAATAAAAGCTGAAGAGTAAATACTGAAAAGCTGATCAGCAACACCTTGGGGCCCTAAATCTGGCAAATTGATTCGATAATAACCATGGAAAGGTGGTCTGGGAACTGTAGCGTCAGTTCTTGCAGTACAGAAAGCCATGCAACTGGAAAGCAGTACTGTCCTTAGATTTTTTGTAATGTGATTTAAAAAAAGATGAAGCAAGAAATAAAGTTCACTAAGATGGCATCAACGACGCCAAGCATTTAATGCCAAAAATGCAAACGTCATAGTGACGCAACAAAAGAATATTGGAATGGTCAAATATTTGGATACTGCCCACATTTCAAATGACCTGCAATGTGAGTACTTGTTAATCATGCCCATGCATTAATGTATTATCCATTTGATTTCCATGTTAGTAAGAAACACTTAGACTCAGTCTTCAGTTTCCTCAAAATGTAGATCTCCCAAGATGTGAAACTAATTGATTAAGGCAATCAAATTAGTGGAAATACACATCCTACTCAAATTTCTTCTATTGCTGAGGTGAGCAAGAAAATCTTCATAATTGCAATTACTGCCTGCTGTTGTCTCAGACATGCTCTCTGGTTGATACACCAGGATGACACTAATGCAATTACGTTCTATGGATTTTGATGAGACCTCTGACAAACACAAATCTGCACTGGTGGAGAGAATACATCTGGTCTAAAGGCTTGACTCACAGGTTTCCAAATCTGGCTCACAGGTTCAAACAACAATCAACAATCAATAGTGTGACCTATTAAAAAAGAACAAAACACTCAAACAAACAATTCCCTTTTTGGTTATCACAGAGGACAGTACAGTCAATACTTGTGGAACATGATAAACTCCCGCTAGTGCTGGAAAACACTGTCAAGCGTCTGCATGATTTTTATGTTATATGTTAAAGAATTTCTGACTAGTGTCAGATTTCATTAAATGACAAAAAACAAATATGGTATACCAAACAGCCAAACTGAGATACCATTATTGGTTCATTCATAAGTGAGGTGGCGGGCTCTCATCACTAATTCTGTAAATCTTCAACTCCTTAAAACACAATTTTATAACAAGTTGAAGCTCAAGAGGGGATTGTAGGTTGGCTCGGAAAGAAAAGCAGGGACACGAGAGAGACCTCAAAGTGGTAATCAAAATCAGTGCTGTCATTCGTTAGCACTCTGAGTGGGGACCTAGTGGATAACACTCAATGGGGCAATAAGCAGAATGAAAGAGTGTGAAATGATACAGGAATATGAACAGACAGCAGCCCTGGCCCTTCTCAGAGGACCTGGAGAACATGCCTGTCAACATCTATTTTGCTGCCGTCATTAACACTATAGCAGCAGAAAGTTGAAGTTCCCCTTGCAACCTCATTTAATTTCAGGGCATGAAAATCAAACCTTGAATTTTTATGGCAATGTTCAACACTGGATTTCAGCTTTAACAGTATCCTCTTTAAAACAAAATAACTACACTGCTTTTTTTGCCTTTATGTTCTTTAGGAATTGCTGGCACCCCTGTGGTCTTCAATGAGAATGGAGATGCTCCTGGTCGTTATGAAATCTACCAATACCAGATAACAAAAAACACCACAGAATACAAAATCATTGGTCACTGGACAGATCAACTCCACCTAGACGTATGTATTTTTAAACTGTTAGGTATGTCTGAAATATCGTATGCTTTCTTCTAATGTTCATTAATAATTGAACTTTTAAAAAGTTCCACAAAGTATGAGTTAACATTAAAGTTCAATTTTTAAAGTTGAAGTTAAAAAAAACAAAAAACACATGGCTTTGAAACTATAATCACTTGTTTCAACTACTGGACAGACTGAGAAACTGAAACAAAATTCCACATTGTGAACACTGTTTGCAAGTGCTTGCTGGCAGTTGACTTCAAAGTTATATGTGATATGCTAAAAACCTCCATATGATTGGTTTGGTTGATAGAAAATTGCCTTGGTCACCTGTAGTGTTCATGGAAGATTTTAATTTGTCCACAAACACCCACCCACTACTTGCTAAACTGTACTGAAACTGTGGTGTATAAGACACTTTTATGCTAACTGTATACCAAGTCACACTGCTGGTCCAAGCGACACCACAATGGCAGTGCACACCAACAGATGTGACATAATTTTTAGCTTTGAACAATCGTTCATTTCTCTATTTTTGTAACCTGGTGCGTTGGACCGGTGCCGCAGCAGCTGGGTTGAAAACATAAGTGTGCAATCACATCTTTTTTTTTTTTTAACCGCCATTTTAATAATATATTAGCACATAACCTAAAGATTATAGAGGTTATAAATTGGAAGATGTTGCTGCAACAGTTTGAAATCATGTGTCTTTGTGGAAAGCTTTAAAAAAAAAAAAAAAAAATCCCCACTCTGTTTTTTCAAATCTTTCCTTCTGGTTTCCCCGTATCAGCGCTGATGTGGCGATATTGCCTGAATGGCAACATCTATCTTTCAGAAGAATACTGCAGTGGATACCTGCACCTTAAATGTGTCACCATATAGCAGTTTCACATGAAGCGACCGCAAAATGGATGGAATACTGGTGCTTTAATTCAAACCAGAACCCATTAGCTTTCAGAGTAAAAGTTGCACCTTTTGAAATGTGTTGCTTTCGGCACCTTCAGAGTAAAAGTTGTGAATTTTATTTTGAAGGAAAGGAAAAGGGCACTTTTTTTTTTCCAATGTCTCCCTTTTTTGATTGCATCATACTTTTTAATTTTCACTACTATTCAGTGATCTGAGTCTCTTCAGTAGTTAGTGAATCTCTTCCATGCAAACTATAGGCGACTTCCAGAAGCAATCACAAGAAGGTTTTTTGGTGTCCTCTATGTGAAAAATTTCATCTGGCAATAGCCAGCAATCACTTCCCATCAACAGCAAATACCTACTGATGGAAAGTTTCTGTAGTAACTGGTCTCTAGGCCTATGTGACTGGGGCCTTAACATAAATAACTAAACACATCCTTTTTAATGTATACATAGTGCACAGAATCTGCAGTTTCTCAATATTTAAGTATCAAAACTACTATATTTTAAATGCCAAACCCTCTGAGGAAAAACATGTATCCATCATGTTTTGCTATGAATGATTCGTAAGTCTCCCTCTATGTGTTCTTATTTTGTTTACATGCATACTGTAGATAGGATTTTGGATTATTATAGACATCAAGAAGCTGAGTTATGGCAGTACACACAACACCAGCTAACCAACATCAGTAGCTGAGAGCTCTAAGAAGAATAAGAAATACCATACTTTTTGAAATGTCAGAACAATCATTTAACTATTTGGGTGTTTGAATTAAACTTTCCTGTCCATTTCCACACCCATTTAAGTTAATAAAACTTAACTTCGATCCAATGAAACCATGCTAATAACTATAAATAATAGCCTCAATGTAACTCATATATCATGTAGTAAGTGTCTTAATATCTTAATTTTTTTATTAGTAAATATTGTCAATATTCTTTCAATAATAACCTTTTTAATGTACTTTCAATTGTACTATAATGAATAACTGAAAATATTTACAATTATATGATTAAAATATAGGAAGATATAGTAAATTATGTCAATAAAATACACAATACTTAGGCATATTCTGCGTCTACTACATTTGAAAAAGCCAAGTATATCGATAGGAAATAGATTAAAAAACACACACAAATGTGAAAAAATGTTTTGTGTAGACAGAGTTACTAAAGCTCTTTTTTTCTTTTACATTTCCATCTAGACTAATGACATGCAGTGGCCTGGTGAAACACAAGAAGTCCCTTCCTCTATATGCAGTCAACCCTGTCGCCCTGGGCAGCGCAAGAAGACAGTGAAGGGAATTCCTTGTTGTTGGCACTGCGAGAATTGTGATGGTTATCAGTATCAGGCAGACAATTACACCTGCAAGATGTGCCGCTTTGATTTGCGTCCCAATGACAACCACACTGGCTGCGTTCCCATTCCCATTGTCAAGCTAGAGTGGAGCTCACCATGGGCTGTGATACCAGTCCTCATTGCAGTCTTTGGGATTATGGCCACTCTGTTAGTGGTTGTAACCTTTGTGCGTTACAATGATACACCAATTGTTAAGGCATCTGGTCGAGAGCTTAGCTATGTGTTGCTGACAGGTATCTTTCTGTGCTATGCTACAACATTCCTTATGATCTCTGCTCCTGATGTGTTCGTATGCTCACTGCGAAGGATTTTCCTTGGTCTGGGTATGAGTATAAGCTATGCAGCACTGCTTACCAAGACAAATAGGATCTACAGGATTTTTGAGCAGGGCAAGATGTCGGTCAGTGCCCCTCGATTTATCTCCCCAGCCTCGCAGTTAGTTATCACATTTAGTCTGATATCAGTGCAGCTCCTTGGAGTGTGCATCTGGTTTGGTGTTGACCCATCACAAGCCATCATAGACTATGTAGACCAGCGCACAGCAAATCCCGACATGGCCCGTGGCGTTTTGAAATGTGATATATCAGACCTGTCTCTCATCTGTCTGCTGGGTTATAGCATGCTTTTGATGGTCACCTGCACAGTTTACGCCATCAAGACTAGAGGGGTTCCAGAGACATTCAATGAGGCCAAGCCTATCGGCTTCACAATGTACACCACCTGCATTGTGTGGCTTGCCTTTATCCCTATCTTCTTCGGGACCTCACAATCAGCGGAAAAGGTAAATATCAAATTTAAAATTTGCTAGAAGAGTAAGGTCACAAATTGAATTTGTCCCAGTTGTGTAACTGGTTTAGAATGGTATGATGCCAGTGTAGTCTGTATGCTTTCAACAGCAGTTCTCTATTTAAGGCTACAATAGTCTAGTGAATTCACTTGTGCATGTTTACATGTCAGTTTTCCATTTGTAGTTCTTTTATATTTCCTGTGCTTTTTATTATGAAGAAAATGGCCACTCAAACTGTTTGTTGTAAAGCATCAGCTCCTTGTGTCTGTATATGTGGAGCTATTCATCATGAGCTGATGGGCTTTGTGCTCCACTGTGGGATTACAAGACTTTTAAAGTGGGCTTGTGAGAATAATTCATTCACCTCAAGTTTGCTTGGATATGTTTTCTTTAATTGTCTTTCTATGTGTGTTTGACTACTCAGTATTTGCACCCAGTGAAGCTGAATCAATCACTGCACATTCATGCACACAGAAATAGAGAACGCATGTTTGAGAAGTAGCATAAAATTACTGTGGCTGTTGATGTTGCTTGTCAGTTGAAAGTGAATCGCAAATTAGCTCTTACAAGTGCTAATTTTGAGGTTGCACAGCACAGATGTACATCTAAAAAGCAGAGAGTGGAAAAGTCAAACCACCAACTGCACCAGAAGCTTCAATATTGTAGTACTATAGCCATAATAGCAGCCTTTGGGTTGTTAATATCATAAAAAGGTGGGGATAAATTTGCATGAACATTGGCTACCAATATTTTGATAGTAACATCTGGAGTTTTTTGGAAACAAAGCTCCTTAGTTTGAAAAAAAGAAATATATGGTTGTCTTACAATGGATAGCAGTTTTTTCGTGAACATGCTTGCTGCCATTTGCTATGGTAATTCATGAACGTAAACACAGCCACTGATGAGGCAGCGAAGGTGAAAATCACTTCTGGCCTTCATTTGTATGTCCAACAGTGAAAAGCAGGTGGATGAAACGATAGGAGAAATTATTCTCTGTATTAGGGGTTTTAATTAAATTGAACTGGCACATATACAAATCAAAGGCATGTTCTACGACTGAAGGTCATATATAATTTACACCGCAAGCTAAATCTTTGGACAGTCTAATAGTAAAAAAACAAAACAAAAAAGCATCACAAACTATGACGACTGATGAAAAAGGCCCTTCACATACATTGTTGTATTTGCCAGCCATTCACTTTAACAGTGATCAACAGATGAACTATGTTTTATTTATTCAGCGAATATTATTCTAATTACACCCATTATATATAAATTTATAACTGATTCTCACTTTACATAAATACATTATCAGCTGTAGCTTCACCCTACAATTTTTTATATTATGTAATAGGAAGATTTGTTGAATAATGCTGCTCTTAATTTCATTATTTTTAAATGAACACAAGGAGAGAGCAACAAAAAGTGCCTTAGTAACAGCACAGTTATCTCTAAGGAAGAGAGCAGCTGAAATCTTAACTTGTCACAGTTTAGATCCGGTAATGATCGCTGCATTGGACTTAGGTGGTATAATTCCACTGAAAGTGCTTATGCTGGCTCTTTACACTGAACTAAGCCATCTTTATCACACCTATGCTTTCCCTACTGAGATTCAAAATGACGTCAAAATGTCTGCCATGAAACAAGTCTGTTCCTTTCATTATGTGTCAGTATGTATTTTCCCTATTCATGAGAGAAGAGGCTTGCCATCCAGCTTTGTCCTGGTATAGCTGCTACTACCGGCAGACAATGGAGCCCTCAAAGCTGTCGCTGGATGGGCCTGTCATAAAAGAATAAGTATTAGACCAGACATATTAAAACATTAAATTTGATATATTCACAGTCAAAGCCTAAAGTCTTAAACACAAAGGCTGGTGGGAAACAACCTAAGTTAGAATATGGTTTGGGATGAAAAGGCCATAGAGCTGCATGTTTCAAATGACAGAGTTTCTCAGCCAGAATTCTGGAAGTCTGCTGATTAAGAGCATTTTTCAAGAAGGTAAAAGCTTCTTTAGGCTGCTCCCTTATTCACAAGGAGTCACCACAGCAGATGGATGGCCTATCTGAAGTAGTAGCAGTGGGTATTGTCTGTGTATTTGGAGTCTGGAGAGTTTTTTTGTTAAAAATCATTTTAGTTGATTTCACGAAAGTCTAGAAAAATAAATATATAACTAAACCAAAAAGCCTGAACACTTTACCAAGGCTTGGCAACTTTGTGGGAGTGTGATCCAGTGATTGTGTTCACATGGGTCACAAATAGGTAGGGTTACCTCTGGACAAGGAATGCATAAAAACAAAAAGGAGCAATCTGACTTCAATGAAAGTTCATAATACTTTCTATGTCTGGTCCTGTTCTTTCACTGTGACAATGGTGAAGATTGGTAACCATTTCGGCACATCAGGGAAAATTTATGTCATAAAGGCTGATAGAAGTGGACAAGGGTCTTGGCTGCCCTCACAGAGTAACTCCACTCTGTACTCTAGAGGGCTAGGGTTCCAAACTCACCCTAGGCCATGTGTAATCTTCTCAGGAGATTACAACAATCCCCCTCTATCACCAGGGAATGCTCGTGTGCTGTTTGCAGTAATGATGGAGCACAAAGCTCTGTCACCTCCATCTTCCACTGACATCTTTTTTTCTGACATGGTTTTAGGCAGCTTAATTTCAACAGAGCTTCTCTACTTTTTTTTTTTACATCAACATGACATGGCATTGCCTTTCCACTTGAACTAACTGAACACTCTACAATATAATACCTATAGAATCCAAACAAAACACTCATCGATGCTACACAAACCACCTTGTAACTTCCAATGTTATTTTTGTCTTGTGCTACAACACTGACATCTAGTTGTACTGATGGCCATTGGACTAGTTAAAATTCTGTAAGAAAAAGGTTGTGAGCAGAAGAACTGGATGAGTGTAAAGCCCTTTGACACAACTCTGATGACTGGACAACTGGGTCTCTCAAGGGTTTTCAAGGTGTGAAAACCATTTTTTTTTAGCAACCATATGTTTCGAGGTTTATGGAGATGAAATAAATTGCAAGGGCAGTCCAGATTTTCAGAGTAATTTTCTTTTCCTAAAGAAACCATACAAAGAGAGCGACATTAAGCAATGCGCCCACTACACAGGGGTGGCTGTAGCCCATAGGAAAACACCCTAAAATCTCTGAGCCACCTCTTTTCTTGGTTTACTACATTATTAAATTGATATTAATAACATTTACACAATATATTAATATAATCTAATACAAGTACAGAACAAATAACATAAGAATAACTAAAAAAAAGAATAACACCAAAACCCCTACAATAAAAAAAAGGAAGTGTGATTCATTCAGGCCCCACATCACAAACTTACAGAGCTTAAAGACTGCTACTAATGTCTTAGTGCCAGATACCACGGGACATTTTCAGGGGTCTTGTGGACTATGCCTCAATTGTTCAGTTATTTTGGCAGCATGAGAGGGATCTAGTGGATATAAGGCCAGAGGTTTTAATGTTATGGCTGATTGGAGAATGTCACAACTGTATGTTGGGAAACATCATCTATAACTGTTGACAAGAGCCCTTTTGGCTATTCCCATGTCAAACAGCTCAGTCATTTGTGATGTCTGCAAATGTAATGTCAAACAAAACCTTGGGCAAATCTCTTTGAAGGATGTTTCTCAGCTGTGTTTCACTGTACACTTACTGCCTTGTGTTCATCAACTTTAGAGAGGCAAAGTAAGCTGTTCTCTACTTCCCCTTTATTCAATTAAGGTTTTCACGCAATGATATTGGGAAAAAGATGAAGTTGGATCACAGTTTCTTTGTTAAATTCATGAAACTAACATTTAAATCCAGGACACTGTATTTTCATATTTTGCACTGGTTTTGCACCTTAAACAGAAATTTAAAGCATGTCATAAAAATTAATCAATGCCAAATGTTGTCTACCTACTAACATCTGCCCTGACTCGTCACATTCTCTACAGTAACAAATTAGAGATGTACTGTGTATGAGTTCTAGGGTGATTATCATAAATGAAAAATTTATGATATAGGCCTTTTTATTATGCTGTAGGCTGTTTCTTTCCACTCCCCAGTTGTTGCCTATAGCTATGTATCTGCTACCCAGCTGTGAGTAGCAGCTGTCACTGGCTTCAGAAAACACAATGATGTTGTCTAAAACCTCAGGGTAAAAACATCTATGCATCAGGGGGGCTTTTTTTTAATATGCATATCATAAAATAAACAAACCCTGAAATGACGGTAGAAGTCAGGAGTCACCAGTTTACATAAATGTTCCTGTGTTCCATCACAATTTGCTATATAAGATGTGAAACAGAAATATCGTCCACTAAACTTCCTTTTAGCTAAAGGAGAGTGACTTCATTCTGTAGCTTGAACTGGGAAGGCTCTGAGCAACACTCGGTCTTGTTATGTACGCAGTTTAATTTGAGACTATCGCATTTCTTTCCATGACACAGTGCTTCCAAAAAAAATTATTATTTTGTCTCTATTATCTCTTTTATAATACAGATGTACATCCAGACTACAACCCTAACCATCTCTATAAGCCTCAGTGCATCGGTCTCTCTGGGTATGCTCTACATGCCCAAAGTCTACGTGGTTCTTTTCCATCCAGAGCAGAACGTACCCAAGCGCAAACGCAGTCTAAAGGCTGTGGTCACTGCAGCCACCATGTCCAACAAGTTCAACCCTAAAGGTGGCCTGAGGCCCAACGGAGAGGCCAAATCTGAACTTTGTGAAAGTCTTGAAACACAAGGTTGGTATCACACGATGACATCCATCCATGCAACAAAGGAAAGACAGGTCAACCAGCATCTGTTAATGCACTCTGTATGCAGAAAATAATGAACTCCTTTTAAGTGAAGATTACATTTTTCTTTAACAGATGACAAAAAGAACGATGGGAATAATTAGAAGTGATAGGGGTTGTGTCACATTAGCTTCTCACTTGCACATAAGTGACGTAGTAGTTAAGTGTTCCCTTCAAAAAAGACTGGAAGTTAATTTTCTCTATTTGAAGGATTATTTTTTAATTTTACTGTATGCAATAGCAAAATAGTTTAATTTTCAAAAACTATATTGATACTGGATTTGCCAGTCAGAAGGTGTGGCAGGGGGCCCATACTATTCTGAAAGGGATAAAAGCAAGGATAACTCAGTGTTGGAGATGAGGATATTTCACTCACCAAGACAAATTGTATGAACGGGCAGTGCCTGTGTGGGGGCAGGAATAAATCCAGTCAAGCACCCCCACATGTTGTGATTACTTAAGGTACTGATTTTTTACTCTGACAAGCTGAACAATATACCATGATATATATCCGGACTAAAAAAAAAGACAACTTACACTTATGTGTATGTTTTCTTCCTATCTTGAAAGGGAATTGTTACAGTATCTTATCCAATTACAGAACCCATTTATAAGTGCTGAGACTTAACCTCTGGTTTAAACTGTGAATCTAACAACTGCTCTTTGTGCTTATGTGTCAGATTGTGTTGAGGGAGGGGAGCCTTGTGAGGGACTTTAGACTCTCAGGTAACCTGATTAGAAAATAACTTTGCTCTTCTGTCATCCGTGAGCACTTTTTCCTGTTAATTTCTGCTAATGTTCACCACAACACCTGTGCCTGCCTACACAATGCAAAAAAGCATCCCTGCTAAAATTCAGCACCCTGAATGACATAAAGCATTAATCACACAGTCACAAATCCACCCTGGACCAAGGGATATTAACTTGGATAAACAATATTGGTGTGTGGTGCTGTAAAATGGCCAATCAGCATGGTAAAGCCTGTTAATGTGAGAAGATGACAACCCTCTGCCGGAGAGGAGACAAGCGATAGCCATGTGTCCCCTGTAATTTGTTTCCCTGTTGACAAAAGAAGGAATTTGTGGTAATGGGACAACAACAACAATAAGAGTGAACAGGAAAAGACAGATGGGTCTGCCAGCTCCAATTCTTTCTGGACCATCTATTCTTTATCTTGGCCTCGCAGCATATAAATATTCAAATAAGGTTCATTTATCAATGCTTTTCTTGGAAGATATGCTTTGGATGAAATGGCAAGAATACCGCCCCCATTCACCCACCCAGTATGGCCCTGACAAATATACCAGAAGCGTTTACCATTGCACATCTCTCCTCTGCAGCACTTTTGCCCCTACTCTGGCTTTCAGCCGTCTTCTGATTGGATTCATCCCTTCTGACATATTCAATCAGCCAAGGCTGCTGTAGGCAGATTGGCAGATTGGTAGTGTGATTACCACCACAGAGCATGCTCGCTGAGGACAGTTTTACTTTTAAAAATTACACATACACCCACATTTGCACAGACATATGTGTGCAGACAAGCATGACTGCACACATACTCCTAGGTACTGTATGTATGACAGTCACATTTGACCAGTGGTTTGGGTTTGTTATGATTGCTGTGGTCTGCCCTCTGGTCATCTGACTTATGTGCTTCATTCACAGCTCACAAATTTCCACAAACAATGAAAAGAATAATTAGAACCATTATCAAACTTTGATAGCAAAAGCTATACGGCCGGGACAGATCACATATTGCCTTAATTGTATTTTACATGTAAAACACCACAGTTAAGAATGGTAATACATTGACTGCTGCATGCTTTGCTTGATGCACATAGAAACCACAGGTCGTTGCATGCACTAAAATACTTGCATTTGAATGGTTACTCCCGTATTTTATGCTACTGCTGTGAACTGCTTGGTAGTTTAGTAGTTTGTATTTTGGAATTGCAATTTAATAGTATAATCTAAAAAAATAGAGTTTTCCTGATTTTACTATGCTGTAGAACCAGGTACATATGAGTGCAAAACTCAAGTGACTCTGAATAATTTTGCATTGCTGTCAAATCTTATGATACTATGTTTTTAAAATGTCTGCAATATTACCAGGCAGACTTATCTCATGGGAAAACAAGAGGAAAACATGTAAATATGATGCATCTGTATGTATACACAGGCAGGAATTGTTACATTTTTATTTACTGTCAGCGTTGGAAGATGGTTTTATACTGGCACCACAGATGTTTTCGTGACTCCTCAAGGCACCCATGCCAAACTAACAACAAAGCATTGAGAAAAAAAAAAAAAAAAAAAAAAAAAAGCTGCTGTAGTATTTTAACCCAAATTCTAACAAAACAGTTTTCCTGCCTAAACCAAGATGAGTATTTGTGGTGGTCAACTCTAAAAATAAAGCACATGGCATCAAAAGTGAACAATGAAAGAGTAATATGACATATCAATACCAATGTAATACCAATGAAAATCACAGATTCCATGATGCATTCAAACTACAGTGTCTGCTGTGTTGAGAAAGGTGACATGATAAACTCTGTTGAAAGAAATGATAATACAAATTAATACATTAAATGAATACTGTTACCAAAAATAAATAATATACCTGTAAAATGTGAGGATAATTCCATTTCACGTCATATGTACATTATATATTTTTTGGATTTTTAGACTAGATCTAATAATGTCATTTGGAGGTTTAAAGGATTTTAGATGAGGATTCCTTTTACATTTAACAGATATTACTTTTTAATATAAAAGTAATTTTACTAAATATTTTTCAAACTATTATTATTTTAATAAAAAAAGAAATCAAAAGATTAACAGTAACTAATCATTTGGATAAATGAGCCCAAACGTTATATACGCCATAAGAAAATGAACAGAACCTCTTCTTTAGAAACCAGCACATCCTCCATAAACAAGGGAACATTTATTACCATCCAAAAAAGAAGAAACGGACAGCTCTTTAGATAAAAACAAGCTGTTCCTCTTTTATCATACTTTTATGATATATATTTATGTTGGTTGCAGCTTTTATTAGATGGGCTGTGATTACAGATGTTGTTGAATTTGTGCATTTTACACATCACTAACAGTTTATTTTGTATCTTAGACGTGAGCATGCGAGACATTAAGATAATTTAACATTAGCATCAAGCTATTAAAATTAGTTTCACTTGTGCTTGTTTACTTGAGTCGTTCATAAGGAGAACTTTACAAAAATCAGAATTCCAACACTATGATTGCCTATTTGAATCTCACCCATTGCATTTTTAACCCTTCTTTCTTCTTCCCTATTACTACAGTGTTGGCCTCAAAGCAGACATACATAAGCTACAGTAACCATGCCATCTAAGACCGAGATGAGCCGTGGAAGAGGAGAAAAGGCCTGCCTGAGGAGAAATCACCTGATTCTGGGGGCATATTGGGGATACACTGGAGAACTTTCAAGCTGCTACATCAGAGGATTGGGGTGGAAAGATGGGAATTTGTCACTCCAAAGGATGTCATATTTTTTTTATGGAATCATGTAAAGGCTTGGATGCAAATTTTATGATAAATTAGTAGCTTGTAGGAGGGAGAGAAGAGATGTAAGGGAGCTTGGGCAGTTAATTTTCCTCTTCCCACCCTGAGCATTGATCAGTGATGTTTCCAGATGCAGGCTGAATGAACCACCTGGAGCCTACAGATTTTTATTTATTTTTTCTGAAGTGTATAGAGCACAAGTTCAGTTCTCTCTGATACTGAATTGTTTGTCTCATTTCAGTAAAAACAGGGGAAAGCATTCTGTTTTTATCAAATGCAGCTGATGAAATGAAGTGGTGTAAAAAATGTAGTAGTTATTTTTGGTTACAGGTGTATTTGGAGTTGAAAGCTGCAGTACTCTTCAGACTGTACATGCCTTACGACAGTACACTCAGTATTCCTACATGAACTAAATATATCTGAAACACATGAAAATAAAGCAGTGGGTCTCCCCAGTAGTTTTTTTTTTTACAGTTTCATAATAATGAGGACACCACCGTTTTGGCAATCCTAGTGTACAGTCCCAGAGCATGCTTATGGGAGCATCACGTGTACTGTGCTGTGTTGTCAACGTCTATGGAATGCAACATTTGTCATCGTTGTCATTCACAGTGGAGATGTCATTTTTGGGGTATCCCTCTGCTGAACGAAAATAAGTCAAACAAACCAAACACAAATTGCCATGCAATAGCTCTATGGTTGACATCACATTCCATAAATATCAGTCAGGACTTGGACACTTGACTGTAAACATCTGAGATTGAGGGGCTCTTATTTATCATGCACCTATTGAAGCCTTTTGAAAGACTGTCAAAATTTCACTTGCAGCGTTGAAAGTAATTGACAAATTTAGCCTAAAAGAGTTTTGATTAAAATTCAATAAGATTGTAAGACTTGTAATAAAGACTGTATACTCTGTACCTTAATGCAGGGCATTGTGATATAGTAGATTTTTAAAGAAAAAAAGACAACAACAAGCTGTTGTCATGCCAGACATATTGTTATTAAAGCCTGACAACATATGATAAATGGGACAGAAGAAATGCACTACAAGACTAATCTGTGTGCTTGTAAAAGATTTTTATGGAAAAAATGCATTCCTCTTCTGGGTCTTGGATTTTATGCCTGAAGTGGAAATGATAAATTATATTTTTAAAATATTTTTTTTGATTTAAAACAAGGCTCAAGTAGCTAGCCGGCGTTAATACCAATTTTGAAAAGGTATTGGCTTAGTTGAGACAACTGGTCAAAAAGTTCAAACATAATTAGCAATATGATATATTGTTTCAACATATACTGTAACAATTTAAATTAACATTCAATCCATTGTCTGATTTTTATATATATCAATAAAAGATACAGCCATGCTGTACTAAGTAGTAGCAAGTTCACCTTCCACTTGGCAGCTATCTTAATTATTTCTTGCTTCCAGCAAACAATTTGACTTTGTGTTTAACAAGACCCACTTGTTTTTTTTCCACAGAAATTGCTGGAAACCCAAATATAGACAAAAGGCCATAAACATGACACCAGCAGGATACACTTCTTTGTTTGTGTATAAAGGATGTGCAAAAAGAATTGTTTGTTTAAATGTTAACCAGCCGGTAGTTTCTCAGGTTTACTTTGAAGTATTTCTGCCCCCTAGTGATCAAGAGTTTCTAAGTACCGCTTTAAATCTCTACAGTGATACATCACTGCTCCATGCCTACTAATTAATTGGTTTTCACAGTACTGAACATAAAAAAAAAAAAAAAAAATCAAAGGTATGAATACTTGCTTGATAAATAAGGGCCACTGCCTTCATTCTGTGCCTCATATCCATTAAACTACTTCTGCTAAATGTTCCATGGTTCTTTCATCATGTTTGTGTTGCCAGTATTACCTTTCAGTTCTTCAGTTTAAACATTATTACGGATGAATTCAGTGTACAATTTAAAATGTGTAAACACCATTACTGTTTCCATTCTCTAAAATATTACTAATAACAGTATTTTCTGGATTTTTTGTCTCATTAAATGTTATCCTCAGTAATGCAAAAATTGTATGTTGCATGTCAAAACCCATAAGAAAGTCGTGTGGAAAAATTGGAGAGAAAGGCATAAAGTCCAGACTACTGCAGAGGATTATAACTTACAAATATTTTGCATTTTGATCAATGATTCTCTCAGCTCTCAGCTTCAACGAGTCTAAGGTGTTGCGCAAATGTTGTTTTCTCATTTGATAAAGTATTGTTTGTGGGATTGTTTGTGTTTGTGAATATGATCATTTTACTGCTTTTTTGCCACGACCCCCCTCCCCACCTACTTTTATTTTTCTAAAACACTGTCTGTGTTACAAAATAGAATATGTAATTGCTGACTGAAATTAAATGGCAAGTTAATGTATGTTATTAAAATTGATTGATCATGTCTGCTTTATGTACCAAATTATTAAAAAAAGAGAAAAAAAACAGTTACAGTGCCTGGATATTTATGAACTATCTATAAAAATAAAAAAAAGCTGTGTAGAGCATGTTCATTTTTATACAAGATATTTCTAATAAAAAGATTGTTTTGTTAACACGTTGTTGGTGTGTCTTCTTAGTGAGCATTTCCTTAGCAAAGAAAGCAACATTTAAAATTATTTTTATGAGTATTCTGTTATCTTGTAGATTAAATGAATGCCTACTTATGGTTCAGTCACAATATAGTAAAAAATAGGACAGAGGTTGTAAATCCAACACTAACAACCTGTGGATAATCACTTTCTAATCACAAGGCAGTTGCACAAACTGTTAATTGACGGAACCTTTCTCCAAGCGATCAAAGTCTGACTACATTAATACATACAGAAAAAAACCCAACAATCATATAACCCCCTATGTGCAAGCACTTTGGCGACAGTGGGAAGGAAAAACTCCCTGAGAACTGAACTGAACTGAGAAAGGCCAAGACTGAAAGCTTGTGAAAAATGTTCAAATAACTACAGGCTGGGAAACTATTGTTCAAGACTACTTTAAACATTAACAGAAAGTCTGAGTCCTTGGAGGCAAAACATAAAGAAGTAAGCAGTGTTTTGAGACTTCTGTAGAGTAGTGTATACCGTAGGCAAGAAGAAAGTATTTTAAAGATATAATTTTAAGTTAATTTTAAGTGTTACCCGTTTGTTTGTTGTAAGTAAGATGATGGCTTTCAAATTATCCGGCACTGCTGCATAATTTCTATACCTCTGTTATCTCTAGCTATCAACCATTTATGCTACTCACCGAGGATGCAGAGATTTGTAATTGGGTTTTTTTGTTTTTTTTTCCATTTCTAATGCTTATTTCATCCAAATAATTAAGAAAAGCCAAGTCATTTGAATATTTCCCCATTAACAATATTATAACTGCTTTAACATTTCCAGTATTCAAATTAATGAATAGGCTACTGCTCATGAGACCACTGGGGGAATACATGCTGAAAATAAAAAGGTGTTTCTCATTTGAAATATCACGTTAATATTTCCACTTGGCTGCTCTAACCAGTGAGTGGGTATTTCATTTTGTACCCAAGAGAAAAGCGTTAAATATTGCTGAGGTGCTTGCTTCTTTCTAAATGTGCTGGAGACACAAATGTATAAGATGCAGTAAGTGTAGACCCTGTGGTGCAGTGCTGGAGGAATGACATCAACTTTTTTTTTTATTGTTATTTGTTTACATTTGTGGTCAGAAAGTTGATAGTAGCTTATTTTTGCTCAAATATTTTCAGGGTGTCCAAATAGCTATATGTAGTGTTGCCTATGTGTTGGACTCTGTGTGACTGATGCAGTTTCTGTGAGCTAATGCAGGCATTACACAAGGACAGAGGTGGCAAAAGTACAAATATTCTGTACTTAACTAGATGTACAGATACTTATGTTAAAGAAATACTGTGGTATTTCTTTTTGGTATTTCTTGGTATTTCTACTTTTATTTTTTCATGTCTATTTAAGTGCTATTTATGACACTATTTAAGTGCTATTTATGACACTATGTTTGCACTGAAGCACCGCAGCAATTTCCTAATGTTGTAAACCTGCTCAACATTTGGCAATAAACCCATTTCTGATTCTGATCTGATTCTGGTAAATGAAAAAATACAGTCTCTGAAATGTGCTCAAAGTAAGGACCTCTTTTGAGGATGTCTTGACCAGCTATTTTTGGAAGAAGCTAAGTGAACATTTTTCCTATATTAGTGCAATAAAACTACATTAGTACATGGGGATAAAACCTTATTTCAGTCAGTCTAAATTCTGATTCTATTAAATGTACTTGAATTAATTGTGTGGAACATGAACATAGAAAAAGATCCAATATTTAATTTAAAAAAAAATGAGAAGTTACATGTAAACTTTAAATCTCAGTTCATCAAATACTACTAAGCAGTCCTCACCTTTAAATGAAACCTCTCTTCTTCCTCTCCTGAACTGTCTTTTTTTTTTTTTTAATCTTTCTCTATCTCGGAGTAAAGTTAACTCTCACTCATTTCTCTCCCTGGGAAATACAGCAGCTGAATGTTTAGCTAGCAGACAATGTGTGGGAAAGCTGCAGACAAACACTTTGAATGTTTGATGATAGTTGTTGAGCTATAAGAAACCTTGCATTTGAAATTAAATGCCACCTAAAAGTCTTTACTCCCTATATGCTCACTGAGGGTGGAGTACCATGACCACAAATTGGAACACCTGCACTTAAAAACAAACAAAACAAACAAAGGAATAGATATTAGTGTAAAAATGCAGGGAGTAAAAGTACAAATATTTGTACTTTTTTACTTCCCATCACTGCACAAGGGTTTAGTGTAAATGATGAAGATGGAAGGCAGCAAGTTTTAAATGACAAAGGGGATCAAGCCTGCATTCTTTCATGACATGAATAATATATAACATATTTTGATGCATAAAAATAATGTTGCAACTCTGCATTGAATGTTAAGAAAAAAATGGTGTTATTTTTATTTCTTTCATTATATTTCTTTTATCAAATCACTGAAATGTTTATGCCACATACACAATTTTTTAGCAAAGCTCTTTAAAAAGGAAAAAAATAAGACAGAAGACTGGAAGGGGGGAAATTTCTTGTGTAGTACAATAAATCATGATGACAGCCTATACACATGTGTGCCCCATTACTGAAAGCCTGTGGCAGCAATTTAATTTGGACCTCCCGTGACCTGACTCAGAGAAAGTAGTAGTAATTACTATGAAATTATGAATTTGTTTGATTCTAATTTCTTCTGAGTGATTGTTGCCTGAACAATATGAAAGCAGTGTAAGTTTTAACAAAATTTAAAAGACCTTAGGTTGACAATGATTGACTTTAGCTGATCATTTTTATTTAAAACTGCAAATGGCAGCCTCCTGAAGAAATATTATTTTACCATAAGCACCAATTCATAATTAACACAATATCTAGAAGAAACTAGTGACATAGCTACCTCGGCATCTAAACCCCCAGGGTTCTTTTTGAGATTCCTGCGTGGAAATTGCATTCCAAAAATAAATTTAGTATTTCACTCCAATTAAAAATTCTGTATTAACCATCTTGGTATCAAAATAAAGCTACCACTTGTGAGTCTTCATTAAAGGTGTAAGCGTCACAACAGATGCCACGGCCAACCAGCCTATCACTGATCAGTCTCTAGGCATGTGTCACTGCGGCTTTAGCAATCAATTTCACAGCGACTGCCAGCAAGCTACAGCGACCACACATCACCAGTTGGAGAATACTATTTTTTCCTTAGGGACCTGTGATAGAGTTCTGCTTCCAAATGACTATGAATGATAACTATCAAGCTCTTGAATTGTTTGATCTTCCTGGCAAATTACCTCACTTTCAAACCTTCAATAGTAATTTTGTGGACGTCCATTACAGCTGCAGGGAATTCACTAGATTAATAAATGCATTTTTTAATTTAACAATATTAGCATTGTTATTATCAACATGATACATATGAATACAGATTATTTATAAACAAACACTTTTTATTATGTGTTAACCTAATGATTTATTCAGCACGTTGTTTTTTTAATTTTATTTTAGATTTTCCTAGTTTACTTATTTTAATTAACTTATTTGTTTGTAACCAGGTTAAAACTGTCATTTATTAAATTTTGTTTGAAATATTAAAAAAGTTGAAATCAATGTTAAAATGTAAAATGGTTAAAGTATTTAGAAAAGAGTACAATGTGTATAACAAGTTTAAAAGAACATTTCAATTATATATAGTTCAATTTTATTTTAGTGAGGTTGGTGTCTTGTGTTATTGTAAAGCGCTTTGTAGGAGGAAGTGAATGTGGTTGTGATCGTTAGCCTGCTCTGAGAGAAGTTTGGATGGAAAGTACAAGTTTGTGTAAGTCAGTATGCATTAACTGGACTATCTGCTCAACAGTCTTTGTCGATGCACACATTTTGCAAACTGACTGTGAGAAGCTGAGGACACTGCTGCTCCAAAATCCATCACGCGGCTGCTCACTTTTGTTTTAGCTCAAGAGCTTGCACCATTTGGAAAGGTCCGCTGATCACTCAGCATTCCTCCACCCTCTAGAAAGATGCGACTAGAAGCGTTATAAAAACAATGTCTAAAAAGTTTGACATTGAAAAGACATCCACAACAACTACATTTGGACTATAAATAGCCCTTACACGGAGGTCCTATGGACGTCAACTGTAGAAGTTCAGTAGGTGTTACAAAACAACCCATCAGTAGACCAAAACTGTACGTCCAAAAATGACTCCTAAAGAGCGTCACTCTGCCATGACTTTGTGCAGTGGGTCGTCACAGGCAACTTTTCTCTAAAATTTTGGGTTACTCTTCTGTTCTCAATGAGTTTTCCTTTCAATCTTTACATAATGATTATTTCACCTGCACAGCATGATCATGCACAGATGTGATACTCTCACTGTCAGCACATCCATTTGCTCATTTAAGTTAATGTGCACACATGTAATCAGACACCAAGCACCACTCGGGTCTATGTATTGCACTTTTATGGCATATCTCACCACACTTTCTACGCTTGACAGACACAACTATGGACACACTAAGTTTATCCCAAGGAATGTGAGTGGAGCTAGCTCCAGAGAGAAGAGGTTAAAGACTTTTAACCAGCTTAAAAATCTACAGGCAGACGTCTTACTACAAGAGTCTCAAAGGGCCCCCACAGTTACAGATGAACTTAAAACACCTGACTGTGAAGGTTCTCAGTCATCCAGGTCATCGTAGTCAAAGGAGCTTGCAAAGAAAAGCGTCTGGACTTCTTTAAGTTGCTTGAAGACGTTTCACCTCTCATCCGAGAAGCTTCTTCAGTTCTAAGGTCAAATGGTGGAGAGTCCCAGATATAAACCTAGTGGGAGTGACCCCCCACAGAGGGACAAAAGGACCCCCTGATGATCCTCTAATCACCTGAGCCAAGGTGTGAAATTGGGTGTGGGACCCAATCAGACAGAGTTTCGGGTGTGTTCATTGTGAAACCTGGCCCCACCTTATCATGCAAATTCCTGAGGTCAGATGGCCCAGGATGTGAGTGGGCGTTAAGGCGTCTGGGAAGGGATCTCAAAACTGGATTATAGATGGCAGAGAGTTGGTGTCGTAAACCCCCGCCTCTGTTCAAAGATGGTCGCTCACAGTGGACATAGATGGCTTCTTTCACTCCTCTTTCAAACCGTCTTCAAGCAACTTAAAGAAGTCCAGACGCTTTTCTTTGCAAGCTCCTTTGATTAAAACACCTGAGTTTCTTAATGTGTTCTCAGCCTGCTATAACTCTGGGAGTAGCAATTTTAATATATAAAAATGTTAATTTCACAGTACTCAACACAGTTATAGATCCAGAGGGTAGATTTCTAATAATTAAACTATATATACGTAACGAAGTTGTGAGTGTGTATGGCCCAAATGTTGTTGACACCTCATTCTTATAAGCTTTTTTTTTTTTACCGCACTGTAGGAACACCTAGATTGCTCACTTGTTCTTGGGGGCGACCTCAACTTTGGACTAAATGAAGAAATGGACAGGCTCAGTGCAGCTGGAACTCAGCACAATTGGCAGATTTTGCAACACATGGCAATCTCTTCACCCCAAATGCAGGAAACATACTTACTTCTCACATGTCCATCACTCTTACTCTCGTCTGGATTATTATCTTGTCAGCAGCTCCCTGCTGAGTGACATTTCATACACTGAGATACAACCTATAGCTGTTAGCGATCATGCTCCTGTGTCTTTAATTCTAATAAATAAGAAGGTCGTTCCCTAAGTAAAAACTGGAAATTTAATACATCATAGCTTAAAGATGAAGATTTTTTTATTAAATATTTGTTAAAAAAATAATGGGTTTTATATTTAGACTGTAATGACCTGCCTGGAACATCAGAATCTGGGAGGAAAGGTAAAACTGTGATGGGAGGTAAAATAATTTCATTTTCATCACATAACAACAAACCTATTTAGAAATTAGAGGAAATCCATTACATCCTTAGAAGAACCCTATGCATCCTCTGGGGAACAGGAAATGCTGAACAAAATACATTAAGCACAACTAGAATTAAATGTAATTCTTAGTACAAAGACTTTGCTTGCAAAATTTTGAACATTGTAACAAATCAGATGGATTTGTAGCTAACCAGTTAAAATTAATAAAGAAAAAACTACTATATATGCTGTTAAAGACATAACTGGAAATACAAAATATGATTCTTAAAGAAAAAACACCACTTTCAGGGACTTTTACAAAACTTAATATTCACCACAGATAAACCCATGTAAAGACAAAATTGATCCGTTTCTTGATAACATAACCCTTCCAAAAATATAAGAATGTCAACCAGTGGCCCTGGATTTACTGCTGACGTCAAGGGAACTCCAGAAAGCCCTGAAAAACACACACAATGAA